GTTGTGGGCATAAAGACTTTTTGCTTCAGGAACAACAGTGCATTTTGTGCAAATGTGGGAACTATGTGGGAAGTGTAAGACAGTTGAACCTTAACTATTCATTTGCTTGTTCTCAAGAGCCTGGGTTTTGTAAATGATGTGGAAGAGAAGAGTGCTGCTGTCACTTAGCAACACTTTCTGGTTCAGGAACAAAATGTTTCACTGTTGGAATCTATGCAGTGCTGCTACAAAACATTCCTGAGTAGGAGCAGGGGAGCTCTGTTCTGGAGAGCTTTGGTGCAATTGAAGTCAAGTGTTCCTGTTGCTGCATTTGTAAGATGTATTCATGCTGCTCTTCATGACCATTAAGATTTTTGTTGTCTACCTCATTGTTTGCCTGCTGTGAACATTAGCCAAATACACATTTCCAAACTACTTCAATAAAGCAAAATTATGTATTATAATAATGGTACAAAATAATTTCTGCCTTAAATGATTTGTGATACTGCACTTTTCAGTATCCGTCGTGTACAAACCTTCTGAGAGGTTTGCATTAGCATCCCTAGAGGAAAAGAAGCCAAATGCTTCAATGTCTGAAGATTTCCTGACTTACTGCTTTTGAGTGATGATGGCATTTGGTAATGTAGCTCTTAATGAAAGATGGCATGATGAGTGTAATTAGAATACGTCTTTCTTTTTTAAACACTCTGTTTTTGCTGAGATTAAAAATACTGTCAAGCAATCATACTTCTTGAATGCGAAATGAAATTGGCCCTCTTTCTCATCAACCTGTTAGTTAAGTCAGGAGGTTTCCAGAAGGCAAGCTGGGTCCGTGTTTCCAGCTAGAAGCTGAGAACTGCTTCAGTTTTTCTGCATGCCTTTGGTTGAATATGCATTTCAATGTGCATATACAAGTCTTTTGTCAGTGAGTCTTTTTATTGCTAGTCTGTGACAAGCAAAGAACTGTTCTCACATTCACACAGGTATGCTTTGAAAACTAGTTATTTTAAGTAATGTGCTTTCAAGTATGGAACTGCAAAAGGATCACCTTCCCTTAAAAGCTGAATCCAGCAACGCAAAAAGGAAGGTTACTTCCTATTTTCTTCCAGCCATTCAAAAGGCAAAATTACAAACCTTATTATGATTAGTTCTGGCTATAGGAGGAATTGGGATAATCTAGCACAGTGACTGGAAAAGCTCCCTGTTCTAGAACTCACTTGATTGTGAAAATTACCTTAAGGAATAGGAATGCTTCTCCAGTCCAATTTCTAGTTGTGCTGTTGTTTTTCGAGGTGCATATATGGGACTAAACTAATGCAGGAACATTTATTCTGTAGTTCATTACAGTATCCATGTTCAGTTACACTGGGCTACAACTGGCTGGTTGCTTCCAACATGAATTTTTGGTGTGCCTTTTGTTCTCTGTTACAATCCTTGATATCCTTATGATGTAACTGTGTTACATAGAGGTGATAGAGGCACTCAGACCTGGAGATATACCCAGAGCTGTTTCTCTGGATTTGAGATGCCCTGAGCTTTTATAGGAACCACAGATGTGAGGGACAACTTCCTGTGAGCCAACACAATGGCCGGAGGTTGAACTCGACTTCTGAGCAACAAGAAGAGCAGTAACACATCTGTCTTGGCTATCCATCCAATTCATTCCATACAGGAAGTTCTGACTGAGAATATTTTGATTATTTAAAAAGTGACTGATGAAAAGCTAAAATCTAAGATGGGAAATGTCACTGCTTCCGCATCAGTATACAAGGTCATTGCTGACTTGAGTCTGATAATTTCTGCAAGGATAGATAGGTCTTAGTCAGCACACCTGATTTGCTTTCTGTGTGCCCATTCTGCTTTATTCTGACTGAGGGAGCACAGTTTGTGGTAATTTTGGTGCATATATAATAGGCAATTTGTGCAGTCGTAGGTGGAGGTATGGCTGGACGGCATCAAATTCAATGAAAAGGTTCCCAGTGACTCCAGGGGACTTTAAATTACACCCTGACCCACCAAGTAGTTTAATGTAGGTTTTAGTTTACTACTTCAGGATCACTGCTATCACTGAAATTGTTCAAGAAGGTAAAGTTAAGCATGTATAGCACTTACAGGCTTTGCACTATTAAGATCTCTGGTTTTCTCCCTTTTTCTGTTTTCTTCCCTGCATGTATATATGCAGATAAACATTCTCCTTCCCTAGGTATGAAAAATCCAAAATTTTCTAAGTATACCTCTTTTTCAGTGAAGAAAGTGTACTTAAAATAAAGAATGCTAATTTATGCATAGTGAGTAGGTCAATAAGATCTCAGTAGAAAGTATCACACTTTTTATGTAAAGAGCAATGTACTATTTGGTGGATGATTTTGGCCTTCAGTTTCCTCCCTATAGTCCTGTCTTAGGTCTGCTGTGCAGTCTGAAATGCACAGTCAGTGGTCATATCCACATTTGAAAGGCTACCTTTGGCTCTGCAATGCAGTGGGAACCATACTATATCTCAGATTACCTTGTGAAAAGTCTTTTACTCTGAATCAATGTTGATTTTTAACTTGTTTGAAATGTCCAGTCTTATGTAGTGTAGCTTGAAAGGAGATTAAATGAAGAATGTGTTTTGCTTTCCAAATGAAAAGCTGAAAATGTGGCTTTTTATTTTTATGTGTAATAATAATGACATTGTAGTAATATGCTCAGCTATCTTGAAATTTTCAGTTGCTATAAAAATATTATACTTGCACTGGTGGGAATTGTTCTACTCATTTTGTGTTCTACTATTATTTTTCTTGCAATTTAGCTTGATTGGTCAAGTTAAATTTGTTGGAATTTGAATGTTATTTCATGCCAGTACTATTCTCTGTGAGCTTTCAGTGAGTTTCTGGGTACAGTTCAATAGTGCTGTGGTTATATTCTATGTTGCTCAGATTTAACTCTTCAAAAATTTGCATCCACACCTATTTTAGACAGATAAGGTCAAATGAGTCTAGCTAGCATAGCACTTTAGAAAGTCACTGTCCCTCAAATGTCCATTTTGCCTTCATTCCAAAGACTGCTTCCAGAGCAGTGAAACCAGTTAAAGCATTGGAATACATATGTTTACACCATGGCATAAAGCCTACACACTTTCTTCTGCAGTCCAGAATGAGCCACCATACTAAAGCCATGCAGGCAAAAGCATATATTCACTTCTGCTTGTACCCACTACCAAAAAGCTGAAAATTGTAATGTCTTGGATGACTACAACAGTTAACTGAGAAAGAATGTGTTCATTTAGTGTGTGTAATGTCATGGCAAGTAGGTGTCATTAAGTAACACCAAACTCATTTTTAGTTAGTGGTGTCTGGTGCATGTAATTTGTCCCACCCTCCCCTGTTTCTTGTTAGAATCCAGAGCTGCTAATTTCCTTAGCAGACTGAAAGAAAATTAGTAGATAATATGTCTAAGAGTAGCAGGTAACTTCTGAGAATTTATCGATCTACAGATTCTTTGCTGTCTTTATGTGCTGCAGGTTATGAAGGTTGAATCAAGTTTGCTTTGGATGGTGCCTTCTTTGAAGGCTTCTGTAAAGACTTGTCTTGTTAAAGTTTTATTTTAGTGGTAATAAGGCCAGTTTGATGTTACTAGATGAAAGTGAGTCAGAAAGGCTTGAATAAAAAACACATAGAAATGACTGTACTTCAAAAATCATGTATGGAGCCACTATTTACCTGGTTGTGTACCCATGTTCCTGGTAATTCCATATTCTGTGAATTATTTCAACACAAGAACTTATTCTTTTTGCTGCTGTGCCAATATGGCATTGTGCACTGGCATAATAAAGTCTTATGTTGCTACTTAGATATCAAAGGAAAATCAAGATGTTTCATCAAGAGGCTTCAATAAATTCTTGATCTTACTGTACTGGCTCTTAATACGTTGAAGGTGATGAGAGAATTCTTTTGAAATGTTATGACTAATGAGGAAAAGAAATTTTTAGAAGACAACTTACTTCTGTGTCGCAGATAGCTGCTTGCATAAAGGAGCTACTGAGGACAGTAAAATTCCAAACAATTTTGATTAGGAGATAATTTATTGCTCTCAGCTGGTTTGCTTTAGATTTAGAGTCTGATGAGGCTGGGTGGGAAGCAGATACCTTGTGGCTCCTGTGGGATTTTTTCACTTTATTTTCATTCATACCTCAGCACAAGTATGTAGGTAATCTTGGCAAGTGGGAGCATTGGGGGACTGAATAGTCAGGTGATTCTTCAAAGCTGAAACTGGAGGGCAAATGACAAAGACCAGACAATTTGTGCATCCATCTCCCAGGCTGTCATGAGATGATGCTGCCAGCAGTTTTATCCATAGTGAGTTTCCAATAACTCTTCTACAAGATAAGGCAAGATCTTGTTTCTTCTGGCTGCTGGTGCAATTCTGTGTAGGAAAAAAATTGCTGCCAAATGGCCAGCAAAACTTAACCAAGCCACCCCACACAGGGATCTTGGGGAAGGGGAATGATGTCCTAGAAGTGACCAGTGGTAGGTCTGCCTCATCTCTCTAACTACTTTTCTGTGTATTCAAAGAAGACAAGACCGATGGTCATGGCATGGCCTGGTCCATAGGTAAAACGCTTCTGGTGAACAGTTTGTAGGCTAGTAATACATGGTATTTTCTTGTGACAGGACTTTATAAACAAGTATGTACTAGATGCTAGAAAGTCAGAGAACCTGGAATAGATGGAACAGAGTAAGCTGTTGCTGTGTCAATTAAGTTTAGCTCATTCCAGTTGTTTTGAGTATGGTCAAATGGATTAAACTCTATGTAATAAATTTAAATCTCACCAACACATTTTGGAAATGAAGAATAAAAGGGCATTATGCAGTGTAAGTAAAGGAGCATAATTTTCTGTCCACGTAGACAAACCTCAAATTAGCATACTTATTCCTCAGTAATTGACGTAATTGTTAATTTGATGTCTGTCATGTTTCAGAATTGCATGCAGCATTCTGATTTAAAATACCTCATAATGCTGCTGCTTTTCCTTTCATCAGAGACCAGCAGAAACTGTCGATGAAGAAGAAAATGTAGAAGAGGAAGATGACAGGGGAGAGGAGGCATATAAAGGAGAATATCCAGAAGTGAATGGAGAGGAAAGTGGGGAAACTGTTAAAGAAAGAATTGAAGTGGAAAAAAATGAAAAGAAATTAAAGGCAAATTGTGAAGATGAAGCAGGAGAAATACAGAATGTTGACCAAGCAGAGGAAAAGGAACTTATCCATTTAAATGGCAAAAACAATGAAGGAAATGGTGAGGGAATGGAGCATTTGAGCTACCAAGGTGATCTTCAGCCTGAAGAAGAAATAAAAGAGGATTCTGGCAGTGAGAACCAGGTGAGTGTTTATTCTTTCAAACTGTTTTCTTATGGTATTGTTCCTCATTCATCTCAGCCTTATGGTTCTCATCTGGTCTCTAAGTAGTGAATTTCTGATAAAGTACTGAGACTATTTATGAGAACTTTGGTTTGTGGAAAAGTTGTTTTTCATCTGTACACATCAGTTACATCAGTAATTACATTATAGTAATGATGACTGAGAGAGCAGATGTTTCCCACTATTTGATGAACCTTCATCTCCTACTTTCCTTAGTATGCTGAATTTTGAAAAAAAAAAAGTAATGAAAAAAAATTCTTGCAGTTTCCAGAAAAGCAGAATCATGATATATTTCTACACTACTTTGTCTTCTAGGACAGAGTAGAAGGGTGTGTTCATGACACCAGTGCCTCATTATTTTGATGAATTGACTTCCACAAAAGTTGCATTTCATAAAGAGCTTTTGGCATTGTTTTGTGGAAGTTTCATCTCTTTTTCTTAGAAATTGAAAAATACAGTGGATATGTACAAGATCCTTCAAAGCATGGGGCTTTAGTCAGTTTAAAAGCAAATACCCTGTTAATTTAGGATACATGGTAACATGCTGTTGGCTTAGATGGAGGGATGCAACCCACATAAATAAGGAGAACTCCCCTGACTGTCAAATGAACTGACCAGCTCACAGAGTGTGGGAAACAAAGTGTTTTGTTTGATAGGGAGAATCCAGGTCTGGGAAGAGTGGGATTCATGAGTGTCAGAAGCAGAGCAAATTGCTGCACATTCCCTGCCTAACGAAAAAGAGTTTCTACCTCTGCTTCCTGTGACACTGGGAGTGGTTTCTTGCGCTTTGCAACTGGGCTTTCTTCTGTTCCTGTATGACACACAAGAATGTTTTTCAACTGAGACAGATGAGTAACATGACATTTTTTTGGGCTCTGAATTTATCCTGTGCTTCATATATTTGAAATTTTTTTTTGTTTTAGATAAGCTGAAGTTATTTATGGAAATGGAGAAAGTGAGTGAGCGTTCACTTTAAATGCGTATGGGGGTAACTGGATGCTTGATGAAAGAACTGTAGGGAGGAACCTCTAGTGTGAGTGCTTTCTCCTTTGGAAGATATATAAGTATAAAAAATTTTAACATGATCCCTCTTGGAAAACATTTTTTTCACATTAAGAATACCTTGTGGAAATTTTAATGTGAAGAGCATAATGCTGTATTGAAATGAAGTGAAATCTTTGGTACCTATGATGTTAACAGTGCCTGTCCTTTTTCCTGAGGTTGATCCTGGTCTTGAAAAAACATCCACAAACCCAAGGGTGACAATCACCAGCCCACAAGAAAGTGAAAAGAACGACCAGAGCAATGACTATGCAGCAGTTGCATAAAGAAGAAAAATGTCATGAGCAGAAAATGAAAAAGGATAACACTTTAAATATAAAGCATATTATTTTTTGTGATTGGTAAGGAAGGAAGGTTGAGTACTCACGTAATGAGTCGAGAGATGATGATGCTCTATGGACTGATGAAAAACAAGCATTTATATCTCCTAGAAGAATATAGAATTATTTTTACAGGGTGAGATTTTCTGATCGGATTTGAGGGGGGAAAATACAAGAGTACTTTATAGTAGTATTGGAAATAAATGAATTATTCTGTGGTATCAGATAGTTAGTAGCAATAGAACAACCACAAAAATTTCACTGTTCCAGGGAAAGGAAAAGAAACTCACCCAGATTCAATGTCAAAACTTCTTTGTCAATTTGTTCATGAAAAGAAAATATTTTTCACATTTTAAGTCGGACATGTGTAGTTTTTCCTCTAAAATTCCACATGATAAGTATAATTTCCAGGTATAACATTAGGATATAACTAGAATATGTTCCTCACCTAATAGATTTATGCTTGCAGAAAATGTTTTACTGTAATGAGGGACCAGTTCAATGTCACTAAATAGTTTATCTTCAGTGTATTAATTAGAATTATTAGCTTTTTTGCATGCATAAATAGCACTTATTTAGCACTATGAATACACGTGGACAGCTTGCAATACTGCAGCTTATTTCCATTTAAAACCAAAAATTTTTTTGATTGTCCTGCACTGATTCACTAATAGTGAATTATTGTCATCATGAACAAAAAAGAAAGGAAGAGTACATAGTATATTAGTTTAAAAATTTGAATTTGAATGGATTTGTAATTCAGTCTAAGAGAAGCTTAATTTATTAATGAAATTTAAAAAAAAACCACGTCTGGATTCAGACTGAAATTTCCATGGAACCATTGCTGTTGATGGAGCCATTTTAATATGTGAGACATCAGGATGAGCCCACCCAGCTTTCTGTAAAAGTCAGGAACAATTATTGCATTTATGAACCCTTTGCATAGCCTTAATGGTTGGAAGTGTGTCATCATCCTTTTGAGCAAGCTGTCTCCTGATAGGCTGTGGCTTAATATGCTTTAGTAAATAAGGCATTGATCCACAGTATTAGTTCTCTTAATGACACTGATTCCATTGCTCGTATCATTTCTCTGTTAGTAATGGGAATAATTTGTAGTTCATAGAAATACAGCCCTGAGCATAATTTTATTAATTATACAAAAGAAATAGTGGGTTTCCTTATCATTAATGCTAGTAAATTATTACTACAAGAAACTTAGTGTCATTTTTGTTGATTTCATGCCATTAATACAAGAATTACATTTATGAACAAATTGAACTCGAAGCACTGTTTAAGGAATGTGAAGAGCCACTTGTCATAACTGAAACTCAAACAAACATCTTCCCTTCTTCTACTAGTTATTAAGTATATTTTTCCAACGTAATAGAAATTTGTGGAGATCCTTCAGCATATTTCTGTACTTTGGCAGTGTAGGTATAAAAGACATGTTAAAAAATGTATGAACAGGGTTAGAACAGTTTGCCCTGTGGCATCTCTGAATTGTCTGTGAAACCTTCTTGAAACCTTCTGTCTGTGAAACCTGTAGCTTCTGTTGAGCTGTCTGACAAAGATCAAAGGGAATATTGCATTTGTGTTCTGTTCAAAATAAGCTCCTAATTTAGCCAAGCTCTTAAGCAAAGTATGCATGCTTCTCCTTTTTTTGTGATAGCAATCAAGCCTATGCTCAAATACATTTGATTTCTCTGGGATTTAAAAAGACATTTATAGTTAAGCAGAAGTAAAAACCAGCCAACTCTTCCCCCCCGGCCCCAACAACAACAACAACAACAACAAAAGCCTGAAACAGAATGGATAAAATAACTGTGGGTGATAGTGAGGTAAAATGACACAGGTGCCTTTATTGTTGGTTTCTATTTATAGCTTCTGAGCTGTCGTTTCTTTCCTTTTCCCAAAAGTTTGGTATTTTTCATGCTTAAAAGACTTACAGATATCAATAATTTAAAGGATTAAACTAAATTCTAGGGAAATGTAATGTTATAATTTTTCTTCACAGGAACATGAAATTCTTGTGTGTGTTACTCAGCTTTGAAAATGTTCCCCCCTCTGGTCTCTTGTAAGAAAGACAGGATATATTTCTTCAGAAAAGCAAATCAGACTGTTTGGAAATAGAGATATAACCATTTTATCATTCACCTTGCAACACTGACAACATGAATTTTGTATCAGGTTCTTTTTATTTAGGGAAACTAGCTTATGCCTAACAAATAATTCTAGTAGAAATTAAACTAGAATGATACAGGTGGTCTTGATAATAGTTTCTCTGTCATGATCTGCTGTGTGTGATGGCTTAACTCAGTTTTACCTGAGAAATACATTATTTTGTAAAGTTCATGTAATGTTATTTTATTAAGCTTATGTACAGCAATTCTGAGTGTTTTTTAAAGAATTGTTTTCTTGTTTTGCTTTTATTTTAAAAAACAATTTGCTATTAAAGAGAACTAGTACAGGTATTCCTGTGTTTTCTCTCATATCAAGGCCTGTTTGATGTTAAATCTGTCTTTGGGTTACTGACTTTATGAATTTGGTGATTTTGCAGCTGATAGGATTCTCCCATAACTAAAACTTAAACAAAAACAAAAGCAAAACAAAACCCTGATTTGGTAGTTTTCCTATTGCAACTGTGAAAGAAAATATGTTGACAGTTTAGCTGATACATATTTATAAATGCAAGACTATTGGTGCAGTTAAACTTGTTACCAAACTTCTACATGTCTCCCTGCAGGGATTCCTAATTTCAGCAAAGCATTAAAGCATAGGCTTAAATCCTATAAGACTGCAGTTTTCATTGAATTTTAACTAATGCTCTGGTGCCTTGACACGTCAGAGCCAAAGTTAGTTTGTGGAAAACAATGAGTGAAAACAAGGAAAATATAATCACTGCTCAGTTTCATCTAAAGTACAGTGAAATAAACCTGTGTGCAGAAGAATAAAAGAGTAAGTGTGAGTATTCTGATCACTTGAAAATACAGGGAAAGGATTGTTGCTGGGCTATTTTAATTGATTACCCCAAATGTACGTTAAAATAACCATTAGATAATAAATGTGAATACTAAATGAAGTATCTCCAGGAAGGGTGTGTTTACTAAGTACTTGCAATCAGAATGATTGAATGGGATGCACTCAAGGATGTTTTGTTCTGGGTGGCTGACAGCCTTCAGTCTGAGTTTTGATTTAAAGAAGTGCTGTGGACACGGCAATAGACAGTGGAGCCATCTGCTCTCTGTAGATTATTCAGTGTGTGCACGTTTGTATCCATCAACTTACAGATGTGTGTGAGTGCTGAAACTGCAGGCATTTGCTGTGTGCTCACACACACTGCACACATAACTCATGTGCATATTAACAGTTTAATCTTCTTATAACATTAGTGATCGGAAAATATCATTGGTTGTAGCTGAAGTTTGTACAAGATTATATAATATTATATATATCAAAACCTAGTAATAACCTCATAAAAAGGGTGATGTATTTTCTTACGTTTTGTGTACACTTCAGTGCTTTGCTGAACCAAGCTCAGAATTCTTGAAACACTGAGGTAAAAAGGAAATATTGGCCTGGGAGCTACTGGAATCTATGGGGGCCATAAGGAAGTGGACAAGAAAGTACAAGTCTAGAGTGCAACATGTGACACCAAAACTTTGAAAGGTCTTTAGTATTAACCTGGTGAGCAGCAAAGTCCCCCAGCATGGCTACATGGGGTTGTTAGATGACATTGCTTGGGACTGTCCTGCAAGAACCAGGCTGTGCTTAGAAAGCGACAGATGAGCCTCCATCTGGCATCTACAGCCTGATTGTGGCAAAGCTGGAACCCTCTGCCCTCCTGAGCTCTCTGCCCTTCAAGGCAGGTTTTTCCTCCCAGCACTGCCAGCATGGATTGGTGGTGTTTCTGGTGGCTCCCAACCCACTCCACTCCTTCAGAGACACTGCAGAACCTTTCCTCCCTCCCTCACCCCTCCTACACCAGCTCAGCCCGCTGACTGCACATTCTGGGGGCACAGCCCAGGGAGGGTGAAAGGCAGCCCTTTGCATCTCTGCCAGGCCCTCCACCAGCCTAGACCAAGGATCTAGGACATGGAGGTGCCCCCATCCCTCCCTGCTGGCAGGCGGCCCACTGCCAGTCGTAGCCTGTCAAAGGACCCCGCAAAGGAGTCTCCAGATCCTGCACCAGAGCACCAAAACAGGATGCAACAGATACACAGTGTTGCAAGGGACAGTGTCAAACTGGCTCCCTGCATGGGAGTTACGAGGGCATTCCCACCTGGCCCAAATGTATATTAATCCACTGAATTCTATACTTTTCAGCAGCAGAAGGTGGGGAACCCTCACCAGCAAAAAGACCAGATGGAGGGGAGCAACAAGATGTCATTGGCACCCTCGGGAGGGTAATATGTTTCTGCCTAATCCAAGTCACTCTATCCCTGTGTCATCCCCACCTTCCCCTTCTTCTATTCCTTTCTTTCTTTTTCCTTCTATTTGCCTCTTTTACTATTAAAATAAATATATCAACTTTTTTGGCACAACATCTAACGTCATTTGGTTTTAAGTCAAGTTTTGGGGTATATTTCGAACCTTTCTGGGTTCAATCCATTTTATTCACAGAGACATTTTTTTCTTGGCTCTTCTGTGTTTGAACCAGTTTGAACACCTGGGTGCCGTCCTTGGCTCTTGCCCTGGTTGAGCTGCAGGCAGTTCCTGACAGCCCCTTTCTCCAGGCCATCAGGGCCCCTCTGCTTGGCAGCAAAGAGCAGTTTGTGCTCACATTCGGAGTTACATTCGGAGTAACATGACTTCTTCCCCACAGTGGAGTACTGTGTTGAGACACTAAACCAAAAGGTTTTATAAGAATCTAAGGGAAAGTACTTTTCTTAAAACTCACTGCATTGCTTTCAATTCTTAGTTTAGGGCTATTCTTGTTTTCTTCTTTC